TAAGAATTTTTAATAAAGAATCTGCATCACTCAGCTGAGCAGGCAGAGCACATGAGTCTCAGGACCAAGCTTCTGCTTCCACAGGCCACCATACTTTAACCCACAATACCGGCTGAGTCTGGGGAGTTCAGGAGAACAGGCTGACGTGGCTCTGTTTTGGTCTCATCCCCACTCCCAGAGACACTGACATTGTTTCTGCTTCTGGGCCCAGGAAGCTGCTGTTGCTGGCTGGTGTTGAGAGCTGCTACATATCACTCAAGACCTGCACTGTTGCTCTGGGTGACTTTGCAAAGGCTATTTTTGGTGCCATCTCCAAGATCTACAGCTACTGGACCCCCAACCTCTGGATAGAGACTGTGTTCAATAACTCTCCCCATGAGGAAGTCACTGACCATCTCCTGAAACCCCATGCCTAAGGCCCTCTTCAGAGGACTCGAGATCCAGTTGTGGCTACCACGTAGGGTTTTACATCAGAAAAATGAAGTCAATTAAATCTGTTTTTTTAAAAAAGAAAATGCGGCCCAAAAAAGTCATTTTGACTGAATGATACACTTTAAAGGATAAAGTCATATCATGATTTGCTCCACAATAAATGAAATTGTGCTCAGTTTAACACATTGTGCCAGACTACATGTGACAGTGACTTGGGCTTGCACTATTCTCTGTAGGTTTTGACTCTTTAAAACCTACCTTACTTGTGGTCCCTCAAGCCTCTACCTCTCTTCCAACCCCTCAACCCTAGGTAAAAGAGAAAGGTTGATAGAGGCAGGAGATGTAGACCTCTTAAGGGGTAAGTAGTTCCTGGGGGTGATTCCACTCTATGTCGTCAGGATATCCAGCAGCTTAGCAAACCAGCAATCCAGAAACTGTGCAATCCAGCAATAGCAATAGAGGCAACAAGGACCACCACCACCAGCAGCAGCAGCAGCAGCAGCAGATTTCAGCAGAAGAAGCACAAAAGGGTTCTCTGGAGCGTTTCTTTCTAGGAGCAAAGCAAAGTGAAGCATCCTTTCTCTCTCTGGCCTCCTGTTTATACCTTCTCAGAGTCTTACCAGGCTGTTTTTCAGCTGGCAAAAACCACGCCCCGTGCACGAGGCAGTTTCCTGTTGACAAGTCTCACACACAAGGCTGTTTATCAGCTGACAAAGATCACGAGCCTCTCAGGAGACGGCTATCAGCAAGGTACAAAGCATTACTGCATCCCACACTTGGAGCTACAACAAAAATATATGCACAGGACACAACCAGGACTTTCACTACAATTTTCCCTATTTTCTGAATGGTAATGATCTGCATACTGTGTGGCAAGAACCATGCTAGCATAGAGGACTGACAAGAGGTTAAGAGAGTAACACACAGCCGCTCTCATGGGCACGGATGACAAGCCGCAGACGAAGAATCAGAAAACGACATAGTGCACGGTGTCACTGAGACAGCAAACAGAGAGTGACTGGCTCTCTGAGGCGTATTGTGAGCGGTAAAAGAGAAGGCGGCTTCTGAGGAACTTCTTCACTGATAGGTAAGAGATCCCCTCATGGGAGGAGAGAAAAGCAGGAAAAGAGGCAGATGTGGGGACGGAGAGCGGTTGGAGACAGCTTGCTAATCCATGAAGACAGTGCTGATGAGGAATACGGAGAATGAACCACGTGACATCGGCATCGCTAGAGGGGACTGGAAGACATGGTGACCAGGACCAGGTTTGTTAACGATAGTTTGGGTAAGAGATGATGAAATCCCGAAAGACGACATGGTGGATCGGAAGCCGAACATATCCTTGACGAGATTCTCAGATATACTCAGGCACTTTATTTATTTATTTATTTTTGAAGTAGAAAAAAATCTTCCAGAGATCTAAGATCACCCTGAGTGTAAGAAATGGCTAATGCATAAAACTGCATTTTCATCCCATTTAAAGTGGTCCCTGTACCACAGCAGGAAGCTTGATCAAATCAACTAGGAAAAAAAAAAAAAATAGGCCAGTAGGATTGTCCTCATGTCCTGGACTTTTGGCAGTAGAATTGAGACAAGTCTTTGGTACTTTGGAGGATGAGAAGGGTAAAGGTATCAAAGACTTTTAATCCCGACAGTGTGGTTTGGCTGGTCCTCCACCCCCAGACATTCCGTGTGCAATCAGGAGGCTGTGTGTTCTGGTAGGGGGCGTATGAATCTTTCTGGGCTTTTACTCCGTTTCATTTTGTTTTGTCTTATTGACGCTTAACAATTTCACATTTATGGAGGGCAGCGTGAGACTTCTGCATGTCTATACGCTGTATGACGATGAAATCAGGGCTGTTAGCATACTCTCCACCTTAAATATCTATCCTTTCTTTGTTGCAAAAACATTCCAGATTTTCTGCTGTAAGCGTTTGGAGCCCAGTTTGTTAGGATTGGCTGTGTTCACTCTATCGCCCAATAGACCATCGATACTTACTCTCCTTACCTAACTGCAATATTGTGCCCGTTGATCAAAGTCTCACTCCGCCTCCCACTGTTCTGCCAGCCTGTGGCGATAACTACCTTTTACTTCTGTGACATTTGACATTTGTGTTTTTAGATTCTATGCATGAGTAAGATCGTGTAGTATTTGTCTTTCGGTGCTTGGCTTATCTCACTGAACATGAGGGCCTGGAATACATGTATTAAATTTTCCTTATCCATATAGGTGTCTCTTCAGCATGCCTGTTTCCTTCCTTTTTAATATCTCACTACCCAGAAGTAGGAGTGATGGGGTACATGGCAGTTCTATTTCCCATTTTGAGAACCTCTATAATGAGTGAACAAATTTACTGTTGTATGTAGCTTATAGAATTTCCTCTTCTCTACTCCCTTACCAGTGTTTATTTTTATACTCTTGGCAATAGTCACTCTGGTGTGAAAGGATATCACATTGTGGTTTTGATTTGTATTTCTGTAATGGGTAACATTATTAAACACACTGTCTCTGTCTTTGTCTGGCTGTCTGTCTATCTCTCTGTGTGTATGTGTGTGTGTGTGTGTGTGTGTGTGTGTGTGTGTGTGTGTTACCTGTGTATATGCAGATGAGTATGAAGGCTTGAATGCCTGTGCCTACACATGCAGAAGCCAGAGCAAGACATCTGGAACCCTCCTCTACTGCTCTCTGGCCTGGAGTCTGTGTCTCTCACTGAACTGGAAGTTTCTTTAGGTCAAGCTAGCTGATCAGCAACGCCTTTAGCTATGCCTGTCTCAGCCCTTCAGTGCTGGAGTCACAGGGAGGCACAGTCATGACTGTACTCGTATGTAGGTGCTAGGGACGTGAACTCAACTCATGTTTCTAAAACAAGTGCTCTTATTCAGTGAGCTCTATCCCTCCCCTCGGACTACTTCATATACCTCTCGGTGGCTTGTGTGTCTGCTTTATAGAAACATCTAGTCACCTCTCTAGACCGTTTTAAAAATGTCTTATTTCAATTATTTTTCTACAAAGTTGTTGAGTTTCTTATAGATTCTTGAAACTAATCTTCTGTCAGACATTCAAATATTTATTTCCATTTAGTAAATTGTCCATTCACTCTTTTGACTCTTTCTTTTACTGTACAGATTATTTTTGGTCTGAAGTCATTCTGCCTGTTTATTGTTTGTGCTTTTGAAATTCTAGTCAAAGGTCCCTGCAGTGACGATATCATGCAGCTTTTCTCTGATATTTTCTCCAGCAGTTCTGTAGTCTCGGGTCTCACATTTAAGAATTTAGCCCATTTTGAGTTGAACTTTGTCTATGGTAAGAAGCCCAGGTTGTTTCTTTTATACAAACAGGCAGGTTTCCCAGCATCCCTTGTTCAGAGGCTGTCCCTTCACAATTGTATGTCATTGGCGTCTTTCAAATGGCTGTAAATTCAGTGATGCTGAATAGACAAAACAACCTGAGCAAAAAGTGCAGCTATGGAGGCCCCGTAGCACCCAACTTCATGCTATCTGATAGACAGTAGCAATCCAAACATTCTGCTGCTGGTGTAAGAACAGACCCATGAACCAATGAGACAGAACACATGCTCGCTGGCCTCGAGGCTGCCAGAGGTCACTCCGTGATACCTGCTTCCTCTCTGTTCCCTCTGCCCCGAGTGGCAGCCAGGCACCCTTGACATACTACCTCTACCTTCCTTCGGTTCTCCCACTGCCCCTCTCCTCCCTTCCTCTGCCATATCCTTACATCACCAGTCATCTTCTCTGGACCCAGCTAACTGCTAAGACTCCAGAGCCCAAGGGTAGAAAAGATGACTAAGACCAAAATCAGAAAGTTTAAAATACAATCAAATGTTAACTCTGGTCTTCTGTAGATTATACTAAAAAATGTTTATTTGCCATTTTTTTTTTTATTTTTTGCCATATTCTGTGATACAAGTAGTACCAGAGTCATAGAAATACATCAGCAGACAGAAAAACTTACACTGCAACTTCCTCTACTTCCTGAACTTTGAAGACACCCTGTTTCTCCCAAGAGGAGCAGAACTGACACACTTTCCCTTCTGTCTCACTTGCAAATGTCAGTCTCAGCTCCAATGAAATACCTGCATAGTTCAACACTAAAGACCAGATTTTCTTTTTTTAAGTTTCTTGTGCCTGGTAAATAAGTCTTAAAATAGAACAAAAGAATAAGAGTCAGAGGTTCTGGAAGAGGCAGGGAACAGTTCTGGACCTTCCGGGCATCCTTGGTGATGGGCACTTTAGCCTAGAAGGAAGGTCGCGCCACAACGACGGGAAGAAAAGGACGCTAAGAGATGGTAGCTGGTAAAGTGGGTGGGGAGGTCTGGTTAACGCTACATCCTTCTACAGGGAAGCCATCTTAGTTTCCTTTCCCACTGCTCTGACAGTACACCCTGACAGCTTAGCTTAGGAGAGGAAAGGGTAACCTTGGTTCATAATTCCACGACCATAGCCCATCACTGTGGGGAAGTCAAGGCAGCAGGTGCATGGGCAGTTCATCACATCCACCGTCAGGAGTGGAGATTGGTAAACTAATGTATGTATGCTCACGCTCAGCTCACTTTCTCCTCTTTATCATAGTCCAGAACCCTCTCCTCTTTATCATAGTCCAGAACCCAAGCCCACGGAGCGATGCCACCCACTTTCAGGCCCTGTCTTCCCATGTCCCTTAACATAAGCAAGACAATCCCCCATAGGCACATCCGCAGACCCTCCTGGGCTAGGCGACCCCTCGCTGAGATTCTAGAGTCTATCAAAGCTGACAATTAAAGCGAACCACCACAGCTTAGAGTCTCCATTTCTTTTCCAATATGTCCTGCTGTGTCCTCAGACCCTCTTACATCCTGTGACTCTCCCTTCATATGTAAACCCATTAACAATTTACTATTCTCCGAGCTGTCCTTAAGATGGAGCGATAAAGACCTGAAGGCTGTAGGGTCATTTGAGTTTAATGTCTCCTTCTGACACACAGCTGTTGAGTGGGTGCTAGCAAGTTACTTAACCAACCTCACTGAGCCTCAGGAGGTTCAAAATCCTTAAATTCCTTAATCCTTAAAATCCAAAATCCTTAAATTCATGTATTTTGGTTTTACCCTATTCTACATCATGTCATTTCATATTCACTCTATGGAGAAAGATCCCCTATAGCTTCATTTTATAAGAAAGGGGTGGCAGCCGAGAGGGCTCTATCTATCCTCAGAGACATGTGGCCAGAGGCAGAGTTGAGCACATTGGCTAAATGTCAGGGAAAGTGAGTTCTCTCTCTGAAGGAGAAAAAGGCCAGACCACACCTAGAACCAGGACCTTGTGGTTGGATTCCAGAGTCCTTCAGTAACCACGGCACTCAGCTGCCTCTGTATGTATGTATGTTAAGGTGACACATTGTAGTTAAAAGTCTAAGAAGTAGGTACAATTCATGTGGTAGAGCCCGCACCTTGCTGTAGGGAGAGATGGGTATTAAAACTCTCTCCTTCCATTTAATTATTAATCTACTTGTCACTTCTGTGTGTTATTGATTCTGTACCTATCCTACCTTTCTAGCATATGATAGCATCCCCAAGAAGAGAGGCTAAGGCCTCTGTCTGATTCCCCACAGCACATATTGGAAACCATGTGCCAATGTATATGGATTACAGATAATTCAAGACGGAGGCAGTGTCTGCCACTGTGTTTTCCTCCTACTTTAATCCAAAAGAATCGGCATTATGGCAGAGCGTGTGTTTATACACAGTCCTGTCTTGTATCTTCAAAAATGCATAATATGAGCTGGCTTGAAGCTCCTGCAAGTCACCCACCCTGCCGCAAAGCAGAGATGTCAGGAAAGAAAGAGAACAAGCATGAGAGAGGAAGCCCAGGAAAAGAGTAGAGGGGAAGGAAGGAAGGAAAAAAAATGGAGGAAAGAGGGGAGGAAGAGAGGGAGGGAAGGAAGGGAGGAAGGAAAGAATTAATTTCTTCCCCCATTTTATATGCCTTTAAAGCTTAAACTTTAAGCATTCTTAAGACACTGTGACATTCTTCCAGTGACATTTCCCGGTGTTTCCCAGTCCTAACTTCTGAGGGTCATTGCAGCATGTGTCAGAAGCCATGTGAGGAAATTCTCTGATCTTTCTTTAAATGAGGTAAAAACCAAGTGTGTCCCTAAGAATCAGAGTCACACGTTAGGAACAGGGCACATGAGTCCTCGCAGAGCTGTCAAGGAGGTTTCTATTTTTGGCCTCCAGTCTGTTTCAGCATCAATGAGGGAAAGTGAGCCCTAACACACACACACACACACACACACACACACACACACACACACACACACGCAATCATTGAGGGCATTTGTAATATCTGCAGAGGGGACACAAAAGGCACTTGTGTGTATCAGATGGAGGAGAAAATTGGAAACAAAGGGAAAATCCGCAGGCAGAGGATTTAGCATTCATGTATGCATTCATTCAGCAAATATTTGTTGAGTGTCTACTTGAGGCAGAGCCCAGCCCAGGGTGATCGTACTGAGGTATAAATATTAAAGAGGCTCAGCTCTTGCCCTTACCTCACAGTCAAGTGCAGGAGATGAGACATGTACATATTTATTATTTAGTAGTGTCCTACAAACATTTGAGCTGGGAGTCTGTGGACTAAAAGGCTACATTAGTCATGCTACAGAGAATGATGGCCCCAGTCCCCCTGGTCCCATCATTATCAGTCAGCTCATGGCATCAGCCCTCCACCTTACCATAATGAACAGTGTGCGTTGGGTTCCTATCAAAACTCTGGCATTCAGCTCCCCAGTGGGTTCACCTTTAGAGGACAAAGGCTCCCTGAACACCCTGAAAACTTTGTATTCAGAGGCAGATTTCGACAGTGTAACGTAAGTGACTTCCAAAATTCTAGGAGGCATTGTCCAGGTGATTGGCGTTGAGGCTCCAGGGGCTCAGGCATAGACTTGCTTCTCAACAGTGCCTGAGGGTTCTGTGACAAAGGAGCCCCTCTGGATCTGTCCACCATAACGTGTCGGTAGACGGCTCTCTAAAGTAATGTCCTAAGATGTTCAGAAGAGAGTGTTCAGAACACAGGATCACCAGGGCCGCACTTCGTACAGAGTCCGCGCTACTGTACCAGGTGTCAGTCGTGCTGACAATTCTTGATTCTTCTTTCGTCTTGGATGATGTGAAGTTAACCACTGTTTTGTTCTGCTTCTTGTTTTCACTGTGGCGCTGATGCATACATGAGATTGGTCACTTTAAGTTGTAGGTGCAAGGCTTCCCGAACTACGCACATTCATCTGCTATGCAGCCATCACCATCATCCATCCCCAGAACATTTTTATCTTCCCAAGGCGAGACCCTGTTCCTATTGAACAATTAGCTCTCCACACTTCCTTCTCAAGCCCTTGCTTTCGCCACCCTACTTTCTGTCTCTGTGGATTTGTCTGCCCTAAATATCTCGTATAAGCAAATTTATTCTGTATTTTGTTTTCTTGCATGCCTTTTTTACCCAGGACATAGCATGGTATAGAATTTCCTCCTTTTTGAGAGCTGAATAATATATGGTTGTTTGTACACACGCCATTTTGCTTATCCATCCATATCTTGATGGACATTCAAATATATTCCTACCTGTTGACTATTGTGAGTAATTCCTGTGAACATGAGCATACAAATATTTGCTTCACCACCTCGTTTTTACTGTAATGCATTAAAACAGTTGAAAGTGCATCTGTAAGATAGTTTCTTTTTGTGACTGATCATCGACCATAAGGTTGATGGGGTAACTTCCATCTAATTCTGTGGTTATGATGGGAATATTAGAGACACTATTGCTTCTGCTGTCATAGACTACTCTTTATGAATCTCTAGAAGAGAGATAACCTCATTTTGTGTGACCTGTACACTAAGAATAGGAATCACAGTCTTCAATGACCAAAGAATCATAAGAAGAACAAAACTTCATGATATATGAAAATTATCTTTATAAGTAATTTCTAAACTTATAGTTATTGGAGCCATGCTTATTCATTTTCTCATTGTCTGGGACAGCCTTCAAGCTGAAGAAAAAGATGGCCAGGAAGTAGCCCACACCTGTAAGCCTAGCACTCAAGGAGGCAGAGGCAGGTGGATATCTGGGAGTTTGAGGACTCGCTCTACAAAGCGAGTGCAGGACAGCCAAGATTACACAGAAAAATGAAAGAGAGAGAGAGAAAGAAAGAGAGAGAGAGAGAGAAAGAAAGAAAGAAAGAAAGAAAGAAAGAAAGAAAGAAAGAAAGA